TCTAATAGGATTGATGTTAGAGAATATTATTCTTACAATTTTATTTTTTTTTATTACAATAATGATAAATTGATGATGTGGATAGCCATGTCATCCATGATGACACATTGCTATCTGACGTGGCAAACTTACTTGTCTAAGCCCGGCTCACAGGTTGACCCCGCTAACTCGCGTTGCTCCGCCACTAAGGAATGAAGAAATCTCCGAAGAACAACCAGCGGATCTCGGACATTTGGTGGTTCGCACTGGTGGCCGCCGCCTTGAAACTCCTCCTAATCCCCGCCTACCGGAGCACAGACTTCGAGGTCCATCGTCACTGGCTGGCTCTCACTCACTCTCTCCCCCTCTACCACTGGTATTCCGACACCACCAGCCCATGGACACTCGACTACCCACCTTTCTTCGCTTACTTCGAGAAATTCCTCTCTTTCTTCGCTTCCCTTGTGGACCCCACCATGACTAACCTCCATGAAGGCCTTAACTACGTATCCCCTCTCGCAATCCTCTTCCAACGCCTTTCTGTTATCTTTTCAGATGTCGTTTTAATTTACTCCATCCGTAAATTAAGCAAAGATCTCAAAAAAACTGAGAAATTCTTGACCTGGGCTTTGATTATTTGGTCGCCAGGATTGTTTATTGTTGATCATATGCATTTTCAGTACAATGGGTTTCTGCTGGGGATGTTATTGTTATCCCTTTCTTATTTGGAGGAAGGGAGGGATGTGATGGGAGGATTTGTTTTTGCTGTCTTGCTGTGTTTCAAGCACCTTTTCGCAGTGGCTGCGCCGGTTTATTTTGTGTATTTGTTTAGGCATTATTGTAACGGTGGAATCGTTAAGGGGTTTGGTAGGTTGGTAGTAATGGGAAGCGTTGTTTTGGCTGTCTTTGCTGCAGCTTATGGACCTTTTGCATATTATGGGCAGGTGAAGATTCTCCATTTTTAGTATCAATAGAATTCAAAACTGTTAGCTTGCAATGCGAGAAAGAAACTGTGACACAGCATTGTTTCTTTATGTCCAGTTGCTTGAATTTTGTGTTGATTGCTGATTCTTGCTTCTTATGAACCAGATACATTTACATGGCTGTGATTGTTTTTGGTCTAGACCATTGTGTTACTTCATGAGATGTTTATGTTCTATGTCAACAAGCTTGAGAATTGTAGTATAGTTAATTCGACTTGGGAGACTGGAATAGCAAGTTGTGAAATTGTCAATATTTTGACTCTTTTGAGGGTGCTAATTTGAATCTTGATGACATTACCTGAGGAGTAACCTACTTAATATTGCCATCATTTTGATCATTGTTGTTTTGAACTGGAGCCAGTGCTTAAATAATTGCTTTTGTCCAATTTGATGATTTATTGCATATTTTGTTTGATTGTGAGCCAGGTGTTGTTTAGCACAATAGTTGCGCTTAACAGTGAAACAAAGGGTTTATGAATCGAGTTCAGTGTTTCATTTCCTTTCGTGCCAATTGGAAGATATTGCAAAATAGCATGGAATTGAATATTTTTACTTTCTAATCACTTTATTGCACAAGTATTTTATCAAACAGTTGTGTATAGATTTTCATCATTTTTGTACTTTTCACCTTGCAGATACAACAAGTTTTCCACCGCATGTTTCCTTTTGGCAGGGGACTCTGCCATGCTTATTGGGCTCCAAATTTTTGGGTATTCTATATCATTTTGGATAAATTGCTTGCCTTTTTATCTGTGAAACTGGGGTTTAACATCCAAGCACCAACGGCTTCATTCACCGGTGGGCTAGTAGGGGATTCTTCACCTTTTGCTGTATTACCCACGGTAATAGTCTTATATTAAATGTACTGTAGATCTAACTTCTGCCATTGTTTTCAAACCACCTAACCAAGTCATTGATAAGGAATGTTCAAAACTGATTAAAGAAATTTAGGCTCTCTGCCCATAGTCCTGCAATTAGAATGATGTCTGAAAATCATCCCACTTGCAGAGTCGTCTGTTGTGTTGAACATTCTTTATCAGTGGGTTAGGCAAATATGCAAAGCATAAGGTTTCCTTTCTGACATGGTTTTCGTTTCATCTATTAATCACTTGATGATGCGAAACACGAAAAATTAGTCTACTTATTCATTAGATAATAAATGCAGATCACCCCTTTGGTGACGTTCATCACAGTCCTCATTGCAATAACTCCTTGTCTCATAAAGGCTTGGAGAGATCCCCAACCAAGGATGGTTACTAGATGGGTAGCCTACGCTTATACATGTGGATTTCTATTTGGTTGGCATGTTCATGAAAAGGCATCACTTCACTTTGTGATTCCCCTTTCCATTACTGCCCTGAAAAGTGCAGAAGATGCTAAGCATTACTTCTTTTTGTCCATGGGTACGATAATGCTCCTTCTTTATTCTCTTGAAGCGCATATTTTTGCAAGTGCTACGTTTCTTTGTCTGGATTTTCACCCTTTATTTTTCCATTTAATGATATAGAAAAGGGTTGGCACAATTAGATAATACAAGATTATTGACGTTGATATGATTATTTAATTGGTTCTCCTGAAATAATATTCCAAAGCACGCCCCTTATTTCTCACAGTGCCTCTATGAAGGCTATGACTCCCTACACTACCTTTGTGTGACATCACACCATACAACATTATCACATAATAAGCGTACCTATTTGGCAGAGCCATATATCCCTTAAATTATTATAAAATTGATTCATAAGATCTCTACTCTGTCATTGGTGTGCGATTAAGTTTTCCCAAGCATTGATATCACGGTTAGTACATTGAGAACATCTTTAATGAGCGTGAATGTCGCAGATGATTTTTTTTCTTGAATGCTTATAGTGACTCCTCAATTTCTATAGTTCCTTATATTTGAGTAGATACAATTTTAAGGTTTCCTTATTTTTCTCTCTAAAATAGTAATTCTGAATTTGTTTATTTTCTTAAGTTTCATAAAATTTCTAAATACACATATAGCTGTCGTTTAAATTTTTCAGACCATGGATCTTCTGCATTGGCGAATAGGTCTGAGGGCTTCTTCAATGGGTTTTGATTTGAATTTTGGGGCAAAATACGGTCTTTCTTTGGGGTTTGGGGGTACAGCGTATGTGTGCAAGGATAATATTGTTGTACAATGGGGTATGATGAATATTTTGGAAGCTTGAAGGGAGTGTGGGCTGCCACCTCCCCTTGGTCTGTCATTTTAGTCCCTTGAAAGTCTTAAAACTCATCCCTGCAAGCTCTTTGTTCATGCCTTTCTTTAATAATATTATCGATATATTTTAAGCAATATAAAGTATGGCCACCTAATTCTTCATGCTGGGGCGTGCTAAAAACCTACTCTATGGCTTACTGACTTGAATCTTTACATCGCTAGTTTAGAGTAAGAAAGACTATTATCTGCTTATCTGCCTGCAGCTGTGTGAAGATGAACAATCTAATTTCTTCTTAATAACATACCGGGAACATATTAGTATCTTTTTTTTTTGAAACCTTTAATATGGAGACTAATGCACATCTCTCATTTTCCGTGCAGTGTCGTGCTACTCACTTTTTCCTCTTCTATTTGAAGCTCAAGAGTATCCCATTAAAGTTTCGTTACTTCTCCTACATGCTGTTCTCATGTGGTTTGGCTTTTCCTCTCATTTCTCCGGAAGTAAAGTTGGAAAAGCAAGTTCATCAGTTCCGGAAAAAGATGACAAATTGAGAAGTCCTAATATCGATAGGAATGCCAAGTTTGTCGTTGGATGGTGTGGCAAGGCCTATCTGTTTGGCTTATTTGTTGTTGAGATATGGGGACAGTTTCTTCATCCTCTCATTTTTGGTAACAGGCTTCCTTTTTTCCCCTTAATGATGATTTCAATATATTGTGCACTAGGAATGACATACTCTTGGATATGGCAATTACGATATATAGCCAAGTCTCGTTGATTACACGCTGCTTATAGCCTTCTCATCCCAACACACATCACATACACTTTTACTAGGTTTTTGTTGTACTTCGAGGGAGTTTCCCAGAGAGCCATATACAGTAACAGAAGCAACTTGATATTCTTCGTTTATTTTGTTGAACTGAAATCTTGTCAGTTGCTTTTG